TTGGGGGGGGGGGGGCAGAAACCCAGAGAAACGCATATTTCGAAGTCACGCTAGATGGACGCGCGCGCCAGTTCCGAACCAAATACTCTAGGAAGGGGAAGTAGGAGCGAAGCTAAATACTATGTTCCGAAAAAGTAATGTTAATTTTTTTTCCCTGCTCCCGTGCTCGCTTCTAATTGGTGCCGGATGACATCATTCGGTTCGGCGCGAAACCGGGGCGTTTTTCTGAAGAAAAAGTTGCGCTTTTTGAACTGCGTATTTCTCCGTTTCCGAGTTACTTCTCTGCGGTTTTAATGTGCGCATCGTGTTCCACGCGTCATTTACCTTTCGACCAATGGAGGATGTCTACAAGTCCGAAAAGTCTGGAAATAGTACTGATTTTTTAAGGGCGATCCAGAAGTACTGAAAAAGTGCGGCAATTCCACTAGGAGGTCCGGAATTTTTTTCACTTTTTTGTCATTTTTGTCGCAATTTTAGCGAGAAATTCTGAATTTTGAAATTTTTCGAATTTCGTCAAATGGAGGTACTGAAAAAGTACTGAATTTTTCTGTTGAGGAAGTACTGAATTTCTGAGAAATGTACTGAAAAAGTACTGATTTTTGGCCAGCCTGGTTTACTTGACACCCTGCAATGTATTCGCAAGTCGAAATTCGTCCATCGGTTTAGTGACTCGTTCGGGTAAATCATAGTATTTTGGCATAGCATACACACCCTGCTCACCGTGCTCTCTTAGCCTCGTGTTCGAAATTTGAATAGACTGATTTAGTGGCCTTAGTCTCGTGTTCGAAATTTGAATAGACTGATTTAGTGGCTACGTCATGGTTCAATAAAATTGTAAACAAACACATAACCTTGTCTTGGATTCGCGTGCTCTGCGCCATGGTGGTAAAATGCGCCCAAGTGTTTTTTTCAATCGAAATTTCTCGTGTTTAATGAGCCCTTAATTGATTTATGACCTGTCAATGACTGAACTTTAATTCATCAACACGAGTAACTCATGAGGAATTTGTACGTGAAGTTATGTCAGGTCAAATTATTTGTTTTGGCTTGAACGAAGAGGTCGATATTATATCGAATGACGTAGTCACTAAATCAGTCCAAAGCCGGTCCTTTTCTGTGAAGAGCACGTCGCACAGTGGATCAAGTCAATGGGAGAGATCGGGCAAAATTTGGAAACTTTAAACGCCTATAACTCCGTTTATATATAATTTCGAGGATCTTCCATCGGTTTCCTTGTGAGATTTTCTTTTAGAAGCAATCTTTAAAATTTTAAATGTGACAAAATAAACATCAAAATTTGCAGTTTTAGTTAAAAATTTCATGTCCGACCTCTCTGAATCTCTCGGTTTACTGTGCGTCGGGCGAGAGTCCCGGGTTTCTTATGTGAAGCATGTACCTTTTTTTTACCCCTGCGCTCTATGAAGAATTCAGGAGAAGCCCAACCAACGGAATATTGGAAATCCGCAGCTGAGCGACACGACCCAAGTTTTAAGATTCGACAGGATCTCAAGTCGTAAATTCTGATTTGAAAGAAGAAAAGGATAATCAGCTGCACGTGGAAGACGAAGGTCAGGCGATTCATTTTCACGGTTGGACCTTTCTTAACGAGCCCAAGAAATCCTAGGCGAGTTGAGCTTTGTCTTCGCTACCTGTGCAAGCCCCCAAATGGTCACTGATGTTCTGGCCCGCAGATTACGACACGGACCTTGCTGTGTTAAAATTTCGGAGAAAATCTAGGTTTTAACCGACGACGTTGACGTCATAAGCGGGGCGAGGGATCTGATTGACAGTTCTCTCGACCCACGATGAGGTGCTCCGGGGCTAGAGGGAAGGGGTTTTAAAAAAGTGTGAGAGGTATTGGGACTGGTGGAGCCCAAAATCCCTGAAGTCAGTCAAGTTAGTAAGGATCGAGGTAGGCGCGACGCGACTCTGCAGATACCCCCGTTTCATTAGTACTGTCGATATTGATTTCGTAGAGTGTAAATGTGCTGTTTAGTATACTTGCCCGTGTAATTTTTCCTTATTGTATTTCTATTAGGGGACCAAGTCTCCAGACTGTTTCGCGGGCCTACTGCAACATACGTTGCAAGTTTTACCGAAAAGTGCGCAGGTGCTCTATCATGGCATTTCGTAATCATTTTAATAATCGCAGGGTGTCTACAAGGCCGGAATTTCCGGAAAGCCCGGAAATAGTACTGATTTTTCAAGGGCGGCCCGGAAGTACTGAAAAAGTGCGGAAATTCCGTCAGAAGGTCCGGAATTTTTATCATTTTTGTCGCAATTTGAGCGAGAAATTCAAAATTTTGAAATATTTTGAATTTCTTTAAACGAAGGTACTGAAAAAGTACTGAATTTCTCTGTTGAGGAAGTACTGCATTTATTGAGAATGTACTGAAAAAGTACTGTAAAAGTACTGATTTTTGGCCAGCCTGTTTTAGTAGACACCCTGAATTGAGAATAATTCCTTGTCGCTCGAATCTAGGCGAACGAACCTTTGTTTCTGAAATTCTCTCTTTTTTAAGTAATTTTACCGTGTATTGCTATGATTTCTCCTGTCAGTGGGGTTTATGGGTGCAAGAAGTTCATCTTCTTTTAGAAAAAGTGACCCTTTTTCGTTTCGCTTTTCAAATTTTTAAAATCCTCAAGAAAATGAAATAGTAGTACCGTTCGGATTCATTTGGAAGGAAATGACATCCAAACGCCCCAAATTTCTCCTTGATGCCTATGCATTATACTACACACCCCAAAGTTTTTCACGCAACTTGTCTGGAATGTGCCCATCTCTGAGCAATAACTCTTTCGAGACCTTCCGACTCATCACTGATGAAACACTGATCATTACTTGACCCTTATTATATCCCTTGTTTTTAGATATCAAAGAGGTGCTTTTGAAAACTGTAATTAATTTTTTTTCTTCAAAGAGATACAAAAACGGAAAACCATCATAAAATTGGAATATAATTCTAAGAAATAAAAAGGAATTGGCCGGCCCGTACGTACAAAAAAAGTTAGATACATTGGTATATCCCAACATTTTGGCATGGGTGACAAACCTGGTCTTGCCAACATCCATGATGGTGTTAACAGGGAAGCATTTTAAGTAGGAGGCAGATAATATGCGCAATAATGCGCCAAGGTTCAGTAGTTTGTAAGGCGTGTCAGAAACAAACAGGGAATACGGTACTGCTTGAAAATCTTCTTGGCTTTGTTTTTCTCGCGAAATGGTGTGGACCCAGCACCATTTCTCCACCTTGTTATAATTATGATTGAATGATGATCAGGAAGGACTGATCCTCTTTTTGACGATGATTTTCGTTCATGTTTATGCAAGAGAGACAATAATAACCTTGTCACCTACTACCTGTATAATTTGTAGAATTATCATCAGAAGTTACTTAACGATTGTGTGTTTTGTCTGTTTTCAGCTTTAAATTCGTTGACGAAGAAATTTGAACAAACATGGACGACTGGGACTTTAGCGGTGACACTAACAACGGAAATGACTCTTCCGTAAGTCACAGATCAGTTGTTTTTTTTTTTTTTTTTTTTTTTTTTTTTTTTTATCGTCCTGCTTCATCTATAAATATTAATTTTGATTTTGTCAAAGTTAAAAGGACCTGGGAAAGTTATCACAATATTGTCTTTCTATACTATAAGCTCCATGCTCCAAGACCTCCTAATTTTGCGTAACTGGTAACGCTTAGTTCCAGCGTTCTACCGAGCCGGTTTTCATGATTTTTGCGGCTATCGACGGGCAATTGCCTCTAAATAAGCCAACTTTTTTCAGATTTTCAAAATATGACCCAGGTTTTTTTATATTACGTGGTAAAGTTGCGAATTTTCCCATTTAAACAATGTTAAATACTTTTTGTCGTAGATCGTTTGAGCGTTCTACCGGGCCGATTTCCATGATTTTTGTGTAAATCGACAGATAATAGACCCTAGATGAGCCCGCTCTCTTCAGATTTTGGAAATAGGAACCAGGTTTTTTTTAAAATCACGTCATAAAAGTGAGCGAATTTACAAAATGCTCCGGGACTGCTACCGCTATGCGCGGGAGGATGCGCAGTGGATGTGTAGCCTGCGCATCAGCTCTACTCTTATCAACACAAGATTCGCCCCCCATATCTCAAATTGAGCGGTGGCCGAGTCGTCTGTGAGGTCGGAATTGCCCGCATTTTGCATGATGTGGGTTCGATTCCTGACTCCTCCGCTATATTTTTAATTACGACCTGATTATCATTATTCGTTGTCTTACTGCAATGTTTCATTAATCAGTCATTGCAAAACGCGTTATTTTGACTTCAAAATTTTTTTTTTTCTTTATTCATCAAAAACAAAAACCATTTCATTCTAAAAGTAAAGTATTCCTCGTATCGTAATTTTTTAGGGGAAATATAAAATCAACATTGATAGGAGGGTAAAAATAGGGCCGCGAAGCGGTTCATTGATGGGGCGCCTTCAGGGGGTTGGGCTGCGTAGCGGCCAGGGGGCGTAGCCCCCTAATATTTAATATTGACTTTGAGATGAGTTGCGAAAGCTGGAGTGTCGCACCGCTCTCGCGTTCACGTCCGAGGAACTGGTCCGCGTTAAGCAGAAAGGAACCAAGACACATTGGCTGTCGCCAAAAACTGGGCAATTTAATTTTTTATGTGAAAACGGTCGTGCGGATTTTTTTGAAAATTTCAGTGAATTTTTTCCATAGTTTGAAGCAAATCCCGTAAAATTTTCAAAGGAATCCGCACCAACGTTTTCTTGTAAAAAATCGAATTGCCCCGTTTAATTTGGCAGTAGCTGATGTGGTTGATGGGCGACGTCATCCACCATGTTCCTTCTATGGCAATATCTCGATTCCATGTTCATTTCGTCGCGCTTCTGACGTTTGATTTTCACATGAGCCCCAGAATACACGGAATTATTCGGAAAACAGGGCTCACGTGCAAATCTAGACACGCCCTTACGTTAGAGGAGCGACGATTCATGACACCAAAAGTAGGTGTTAGACGGGTCTCATGGTTTTTAATGGACCACTAGACGAGGTACGAATTTCAGTATTCTGATACATGTTTCGTAACTAAAATTTCACGAAGAACACGATGCGCGTAATCAAAATTACCGACATTAACTCTTTACGAAGATATTTAATGATTCGTGATGCGTGAATTCAAACCACCCGCTCATGAAAACTCAATGCTCTACGTGATTCACATCGCGCGCTAAACGTTATCACGACAGTCTCTGCGGTATAAAAATCTGGCAACCTCATTCTTGACACTTTGGCTCAGCTATAGCAAATTGCTAATAGTTCCTCGTAACCAATGTGAAATTAAAACGTTCATATCTTCGTTAGGGGTTGGTTTCAGTAATTTTCGTTGTGCGAATCGTGTTCGACGTGAAATTCTGGTGAAGAAACATGTAGCAGATTGCTTGAATTCGCACCTTGTCTAGTGGTCCATTAATCAATAGATCGTCACCTTCCAGGCAAAGTATCACAAGCGCCATGCGACGTTTAAAAATTTCCGCCGCCGTTTTATATTTTTTACAGAGAAATTGTTCCACGAAGCTGTCCAAAACTTTCACTGAATTTTCTTTGTGCTGCCAATAAAATTCAGTGAAATTTTCAGACAAATTCAACCAGAAATTTCTCTGTAAAAAAGTAAAATGGCGGCGGAAATTTTTAAACGTCGCATGGCGCTTGTGATACTTTGCCTGGAAGGTGACGTAGGGATGTCGATACTTATCCGATACTTGCAAAGTATCGATACTTTCGATCGATACTTAACGATACTCGGCATCGATACTTAACGATACTCGGCATCGATACTCCACGATATCGATACCATGCAGTATCGATGCCAAGACCCCAGTATCGACGGTAAGTATCGATACTTAATCTGATTTGGCCATGAAGAAGGCCTCTTTTTCTTTTTTAAAAAATTCTCTCCCCACTATTTCACCTTCATGATGCACTGTGACAAACGACGAAGTAATCAAGTTTCTCAAGATGATTATACTTCAATTAAAATGGTAAAAGCTCAGTTCGATAACTGTAGTTAAGGGCTCAAAATAGTTGACTAAGGACGCGAACAGGGCTTTTTCGAGAGAGGCGTAAATCTGGCGGAATTTAACGGCCGACAGACACATGCACACTCAGAATCACGGCATAATTCAGAAATAGTATCGATACCATCGATACTCATAAGTATCGATACTTCAGCTCGATGATCGATACCGGTATCGATGCTTAGAGTCGATACCAGTATCGATACCGAGTATCGATACTTCCCTGAGTATCGACATCCCTAAGGTGACGAGATGTGACCATTCGTAACGTTGCAACACGATCGGTTGACGCATTTGCGCTCACGTGATCAGATGAACTGGACTGTTTGAAGACTTGTACCAATGCTCATTGCTCATGCATAATTTAATCACGTTTCAGTTCGGAGGAGGATATGGCGGAGGCGGCAAAGGCCGAGGTTTCTCTCAATACGAGGAAGAAGACGGCGATTCCGGGTTCGGAGGAGGTGGCTTCCGCGGAGGACGCGGCGGTCGCGGTGGAGGCCGCGGTCGAGGAGGCGGCCGGGGAGGCCGAGGAGGTCGTGGTAAGTCTCACAATTATTTCCCATCTAGCCTTCCTCCGAGAACGAAGATTAATCACTCTGGTGTGTGGAATGGAGATGTTGCATGTGTGAGGGATTTGCGATTTGACCATTGATTCGTATGTAAAAGTTCGCGAGAAACACGATGGTCCCACTGGTTTTCTCTGAAATCAACTCCCAAGCTCAAAAAAAAGCTCTCACGTTGAGGCCAAAATGGAGGGGATATCCTGCCCTACCCTGAGAGTCCACCTCTACATCAAAACAAACTTTCCATGCAAAGATAGGGAGCAAATACATCAGCAGTGATGCCGCTTTATTTGGGGACTCCAAAACTGAAAACACGGCAACCCTGCTAATGTATTTGCTCCCTATATTTGCATGGAGAGTTTGTTTTGATTGAGGTGGACTCGCAGGGTAGGGTGGGATACCCCCTCCATTTTGACCTCATTTTGAGAGCTTTTTTCGAGCTTGGGTGTTGATTTCAGAGAAAACCAGTGGCACCATCGTTTTTCTCGCGAACTTTTACATAAGAATCAATGGTCAAATCGCAAATCCCTCACACATGCAACATCTCCATTGATGGCACCATGAGCATGACGAAACAAAGTGAGGCGATCAGGGGGAGTCTACAAGTCCGGAAAGTGCAGAAACAGTACTGATTTCTTAAGTGCGGTCCGCAAGTACTGAAAAAGTGTGGAAATTCTACACGAAGGTCTGGAATTTTTTTTCCTTTTTTGTCATTTTTGTCGCAATTAGAGCGAGAAATTCTAATTTTTGAAATTTTTCGAACTTTGTTGAATAGAGGTACTGAAAAAGTAAGGAATTTTACTGTCTAGTAAAGTTCTGAATTTCTTGGGAATGTACCGAAAAAGTACTGATTTTCGGCCAGCCTGTTTCAGTAGACGCCCTGGGCGAAGAAAAAGTCCTCATAGCTCACAATACTTTTTTAGTTTTTTTCTAATGGGAAATGGGCTTTTTCAAATTTTGCAGCAAAGACGGGGAGAAGTCTTGTTAAACTGTTAACAAGAATGGTATAAGATTCAAATATTGGTGTAGTGGTAGTAGAAAAATTTTATTTCAACGAGGAGCAGTAACATAGGAGGCCATTTAAATACACTTCTGAAAAAATTGACATGCAGTTGTTTACAAGTACAGAGTATATCACATTGGAGGATAGGGGAAGAAAGTTTGAATGAAACAGACCTGGTATCGGAATGTAGGCAGAAGTTCTTTGTTTATAAATGTATACGTTACGGTCACAGGAAACCACCGAAGGGCAGTGATGTAAATACACTTCCAGAAATGCCTGGGAAAATTAGAGTAAAACACACAAATAATTTTTCGTTCGTTTCCTGAACAAATGACTCAAAGCACCTGGTATGCAATGATGAGATTATTTTATGCGTTGAGTGGTGGAGCCTCGAAAGAGGAAATCTCCCCCCCGTTATCTAAACGGTTTATATTTGTGTCTGGCATCTCAGGATTTGTTTGTAACATGATGAGAAGAGAGCCTAATCAAGGGTGGAGATAGGAAATCTTTTATTTTGCAGTTGTTTCAATCTGATCATTTGATTCCATGTTCTAATAAAGAGACACGTATCGTCTTCAGTGCATATTTTCCTGTAAGTCGCGTACAAAAGTAATCTGTGTTCTCTCCCAATGACTTCAGATAAAGTATTCAAATTCTGCTGTCAAGATACCCACAGGATTATTTTATTTTATAAGATAAATCTAAGTTTTAAGCAGTTGACTCGCGAGTGTTACCTCTCCCGGGAACTGATTTACTAGCGATCTCATGAATAAACCAGATGATCTTGTAAATACGAAGAGTGAAAATAATGAGGGAAAAATTGACTTGGAACGTTAATCATCATCCGTGAACTTATTTAGCAGTATCATCTCCCTGGACTGTTGTATTATTTTACCGTTTGCATAAAGTTATTATTTTATTTTTACAGGTGGTTTTAATGACGGGGGCGGATACCGTAACCGCGATGATGATGATGATAATGACGGAGGCGATTCCTATAACCGAGATCGCGATGATGGTGGCCGAGGCCGTGGAAGAGGCAGGGGCAGGGGCCGAGGTGGCTTCTCGAATGGAGGAGGCTATGGTGATGAGTCAAATGGTGATGATGGTGGCTTTGGTCACGAGGGCAATGGCGAAGGTAATTAAGTTGTTTTTTTACTACTTACATTCAGAAGATATTATTTAAGACTGAGTCTCTCATCATAATCCTTCCTTGTGAGGAAAGTTTGAAACTCCTCAGAGAAGCGACCACACCTGGACCTCTATGCTGCCGTTCTAAGGGGAAAAGCTGAATGAATCTTCAGGCATTGCCAAATTTCCTTTGGTAAATCACGAATTTTCAGGAAAATTTCTGAACATTTTTCTTCCTATTTTTCAGATAATTTTGTTCACGATCTCACGTAAAGTTCCTGAAAATTTCAAGAAAAAATATTCATAGCTTTTTCAAAAATTAACATTTTTTGAAGAAAATTTAGCAACTCTCGATTGCTCGTATGGCGCTTTTCCTCAGTGTGACAAAATGGACTCTTCCTCTCTAACCCTTCTCAATTAATAAAGTCAGTAAGAATTCGGCACATCCAAATGTCAGTGAGGAAAAGTGTAATTAATAGGACCTTGTGTCACTCGATCCATATCATGTCATGGAAACAAACAGAACACCAATCCGCTATTCATTTTTTTTTTTTTTTTAGAATCCTTCCAGGTTTTTTAAGGCTTTAAAATAAGTTACTTGCAGTGTAACATAGTAAATGAAAATAATGCCAAGAAACGTTAAAGCAGTTGAGGTGCTTTTGTGGAGCAGGCTTTCGAATTTTTTTGTTTTTTACAAAAAATTCTTTGATCAAAAATTTCAGAAAATGCTAGTCTGAAATCAGAAAATTCAATCTCAGATTATTTTATTCGGTATCCAATCGTAGGTATCTATACTATTGGCAAGGTGACTACACTTAGGTGGTTGCATCTTGACATTACTCGGTGTCTGGGACTTCTCGTATTATTTCAAATGGCAAGGCAAAATCTTTACCCGTAGTGAGTCTCTAAAATGATGGTTCAAATTGCAATGCTACCACCTCAATGTATCTGCCTTGTTTTTTTGCATCCAGGTTATTTTCAGCTTTTTATCCTCTTTATAAGGCCTGACTGAAGGTGGGTAATTGGCGCGAGTGAAAGTTGGCCTTTCTTGTATCAGACCCACCAAAGATATAACAGAGGTTTTAAGTGGTTCATAGTATAACCACTTTGTCTCTTTCCTTAGTTCAGTTTTAATTCATACCCTAACAATGGCTAATATCTTATGAAAGCAAGACATAAAGTCTGCGATGAGAATGCATGTTAAGTTGTCAATATTTGCAACAGATTGCAAAGCCAGTTCATTAATTGAAGACATCAATTTTTTCAAGTTTCAAAATCATCCTGCATATGATGCTGGAGTAACTTGCTGCTATAATCACATCATCTTCTTTTCAGCTCGGTTTCTGGGATCAAAATGGGTTGTGGGTGCAACCGTTGAGTGTTGCTGATCAAAATGAAGAGGCGCCTCTAATTTCTATTCTTCATGAGTCACAAAGAGAGTGTCAAAACGCATTTATTTTAATACTCAGTCAGCGATTAATGTTGACCATAAAGCTGCAGCACCTCTTAATTATGATCAGCAACATTCACCAGTCACATTGGTGACTCATTTTAATGGGCTCATTTTGATCGTGAAAAGGGGACTTTTAAGTCTTTATTTATTGTGATTTATTCAAACTAGTTTGGTAGGTATGTACTCAGTTTTTTCATTGCTGAGCTCACCATTAATTTACCTTATTTCGTCTGATCTACAGTGGACCCCAATAAACCCGCTGCCCAAACTTACATTCCGGAAGAGCGGACAGAGGATGATTTATATGATAGTGGAATCTCAAGTGGAATAAACTTCAGCAAATACGAAAACATACCAGTTCAAGTAAGTATGAGCAGGAGGATTTCATTTGCTGTCTTTGTTGCTTCAACTAACCTGGGTCGGTTGACAACGAAATTCTCTTTTGTGATTTCAATCCTGTAATCCTACTTAATGAGAAGAGGAAAAGAGACGGAGCCTTTTTTCTTTTGTCTGTGACATTGTTGTTACAAAGTCTGATTTAAGAATGTCTCATGTTATATGTTTCTGTAAATATTCAAATTTTGAAAACTACTTGAAATGTACTCTAATTTAAAAATGAAGAATTTGGCCGAAAAAATTATATCGGTGCATCTGAGAGTGCATATTGAGCTGCGTTTGCCGTATTTTCCATAATTTTTTTCTGGTTCAAGAAATTGTTGAAAAATACATTTAAAAGTTGGAAAAAGGCATTTTCCATTCAATCTTACTTATTTTCGCAAAATAGGCCAATAGGTCATATCCATTCTAACGATCGTTCAGTTCAGAAACCAAGGATATTCTCATGCTAAGTTCATTCAGTAGTTTCTTCTTAAACATGAAATTCACCTAACTTCCGACACTTGCAAATCCTTCATTGTCTATTTGTTTAAATTTGACCTTCATTCTCTCCATTACCAGAGGAATAAAAATCCCTGTCTAATTTGCTTAATTCTGCCATTTGTGATTATATTTTTATTTTGTTTTTAGAAACTAATTTTTCACTTTTATCTCGAGGTCTCACAAGAATGTCTGATTCAGTAACTAGGTTTTCAAGTTCGGAGAGCTTGAGTTCTCGTTTTTAAAATCAGGGTGCTTGTCAGGGATAATCAAGAGAATTCAGGGAATTTCAAACAGTCAGGGAGTACGAGGAAATAAAGAAAGCCGGTGAAAAATCATTTCTTCACCTTCATTTCCTTTCCAGAATGTGTCTGATGTTCCGAATAACAATTTTATTCAATCATTTCTGACAATGAAAATTAGTTGTATTATGTTTTGCATGGAAGTCAGTGGTTTCAGAAAAGAATCCGTTCATGTTCAAGTTAAGGTGCACTCAATTTTTAATCTCATTTTGTAATGTTTCTTACCTAACAGATTCTTGCAGTGTGAATAGTGATTCAACAGTAGTTTTACTTATAATTTTAAATTGTTTTTCCCGATAGGTCTCTGGAGAAAATAAACCAAAACCAATTCCCAGTTATGAAGCTTCTGGGCTTAGACCTCTACTATTGGACAACATTAAGAAAATGAAATATACTACACCGACCCCGATCCAGAAATATTCAATCCCTATAGTAATGGCAAAACGCGATTTGATGGCGTGCGCCCAAACAGGATCAGGCAAAACGGTATGTTTAAAAATTTTTGAACGTTACTCTATACTCATTGGTTTTTCTTTTTATTTAGGTATCTTTTTTCTGCATTTCATCATAAAACACTGGCATTCCTTCCATAAGTCCTGATCAATGCTTTTTGAAAAGATTGCGGAACCCTTACATCTTGCTGACCGGATTTATCAGGAAGGAACCTATGGACTCATTGGAGAAAAATGAGCTAGAGCTAAGAGTAGTTTTGAATTCTCCTTACATTTTCCCTAGTTTAAAATTTGAAGTCCAGGAAAAAGATTTTTAAATTTTAGATTTTACAGCGCTTTCGTCCAAGTATTATAACGTATGGATGTAATGTTCGGCAGCTGAAAAAATGGACACAGGATTTGGTAATATCAATGGAGATGAATTTTTGGAGGAATTTTTAGAAGGGATTGAATCCGCAATGATAGAATGTTATAGATCATGGAAGTCATAAATGGCATTGTATTCAATGTTATGACCTACCACTTAGTCTAGTATGGACTTTTTAAGTGAATGGTGAAAGAAAAGGCTCTCCAAAAAGACACTAGATTGAATTTCGCCTTAGTGGAGACAAAAGTGACACCTAGCAAGAGGGTGGCCACACAAGGCTTTACAAGAAATAGGAGGTTGCAAACTCCCTGAAAGGCTGTGGGAGGATAGGAGACTGTAACAGTCATGTGCTGCAGTCTGCAACCTGCAGAGCAGAGAAGAGACCTATGAAAACGTTTCCTTTGCATGTAAATAATAAAATTTGAATTTCATCCCTAACATCTGATCTGTTCATCAGCTCTTGGACTGTTAAACTAAAGAGCAGACACATCCTGAAAGTATCCACCCCTCAGAATCTAAGGGTAGAATTTTGAATTTTTCTTTAAATTGTCATTTACTGCCCTCGTGTACGCATATTCTTTGATCAGCAAATGCTTTTACCAATTTTCTCATTTGATTTTCCTTTGTCACTCAGGCCGCCTTTCTTCTGCCAGTCATCCATGATTTACTTGAGAACCCAGCGGATTCAAGTGGCGGTGGTGGTTACGGTCAAGCCATTGAGCCGTTAGCTGTTGTTATGGCACCTACCAGAGAATTGGCTATTCAAATTTATGAAAACGCTAAGATTTTTGTTCGTGGATCTGCGGTACAAGCACAAGTAGCATATGGTGGTACGCATGTGTCAACACAAAAATCCCGGATTGCGGTGAGTTCCTCTTCTAAAAACACATTTCTCTTATCTCTTTCTGGTGAATTTTAAGTTTTGTCCCTAAATTTTGGGTGCACCAATTCAGTGTTGTGCTGGGTGTCTGTTGACCAATAAAGCCAGGGAAAGTAATCGCTAAGCCGGGAGAATCGCGAAGTCCTGTGCAAGATGATGCTTTTTTGCATAACTCCACAGCGCTTCAACACTGAAGTCTCTGCAGTGCTCTCTCCAAGTCTGCAGTAACAGTCTGGGAAAACCTGGAATGTCAGGTAGAATAGAAAGAAAAAGTTTCTAAAATCCCCGTCACTTAGCTGTAACGTGAGTTATTACCATAATTATTACGTAAATTTACGTGCTCATTATCAGTTGAAATTTGGATTCAGCGCAAAAATTCATTACAATTTTCAGAAGAAAGGAATAACCTCAGTAACCTTTTTCAACAGATGTCATTCTTAAATGAACGTTTTATTTGTTTGTTCTGTGCAGAGAGGTTGCCACATATTGGTCGCAACTGCAGGAAGATTAAATGACTTTCTAGAGCGGGGATTCATCACTTTTAATTCTTGCCGCTTTTTCATATTGGATGAGGCTGATAGAATGTTGGACATGGGTTTCTTACCCAACATAGAAAAATGTCTTCATCATCCTTCGATGGAGCCATTAAAGGTAATCCCATTAATATTTCAGCTCTTTGACTGCCTAATTCCAGAAAATCTCATCAACATGTATTAGCCCACAGCTAAGAAAATACTGATCTCACCTAATTTGTGGAAAGCTTAGGTCATCTCGTTATTTGTTTTTTTTTGTCTGAAGCCAATCTGCTGCAACTCCATTTAGATTTTAAAAAAAATAATTCTGATCACAATACTTACACATTACAAATGTACTTAATATTTTCATCATAAATGGTACCACACAGTTTTTCTGAAACTATGAAGAATGAATGCTTGCTGGACTTTTTGTGAGAACATTTTGTGAAGGAAGATAACTAAAAAATCTGGAATTGAATCAGTGAGTTAGAAAACACACCAACTCAGGTTTTTTTTCGATGTTCACTTTTTTACGGTTTAGCAACACTTATGGATAGAAGCATCTGCACGCAAAAGGAAATTTCGAGATTGCAATCTGAAGTGCTCGAAACAGCGATGGGTAAAGGGAAGAATCAAAATATTTCATCGGAAATACCAATTTTTGGCCATTTCAAGGAAAACGGGTGACCATCCGATTTTGTGGTTTCCTTTTTTCAGTTCAGTATACCCTGTACCAGCAAGTTATGTAAATTTTCAAGCATTATTCAGGTCAAAAAATATACATTTTTCTGGGCAGACTGTGAAAATCAGTATCTAAAAGTCTGTGAGAACGGAAACACACCAGCTCGGAAATTTTTAAACGCTTAATTCTCTGTCATCAAATATGGTGTATCGATTTCAACTTGGTGCTTTACAAAGTCTCTAAGTGCTTGTCCTTTGGCACCAAGAAGGTTTTTCTGAAACTAACTTCTTCGCCCGCTGTGCAGTTTTAGGTGTTTCCTGAACAATTTTTTTTTCCCGAGTTGGTGTGTTTTCGAACTCACTGATTCAATTACAGCTTGCTTTGGATGTCACTACTATGGTGTCAAAAATATCTCTCATCTTATAAAGTTGATGAGTTGCGACTGTAAGCGAAGCCAAACTTTCATAATATGATTGAGATGTGAAAGTGGTTTTTACACTTGTGTACTTTCAAAGCTTTTTGAGGCATTAAATAGCAATCTTTTTCGCAAACTCATGGTGGATATGAGGTGCAAAAAATGCCCAATCTCACAACTTGCAAACTGCTGTTAACACGAGGCAAATCTTACAAGGGGAATCTCGCAGGGTCCTGCCAAGATTTTGAGTGAAGTATGAATTGAGTCTTTTCGTACCAAATTTTTGGACCTTTTTTTTTTCGATTTTTGCGCCAAATGTTCCTGAAAGCCCCCCAAAAATAAAATCGTAAAAAGGATCGCATTCTAGAGTTGCTAAACAACGCCTCAGACATTTCAGCGCAACTGGAGTGCAGTGGCCTAGAGCAATACGCTCTGGTAGAGAGGTGTGAGGTCCAAATATTGGTGTTCTCAGGCAATTTTTATTTGTTCCTGCAATTATTCTGCTCGATCTGCTCTTACCCTCTTAGAACTGCATTTTTAACCATCCTTTTTCAGATACATATTCACATAGAATAAGGAATGATCAATTAAACTGATAATCATTGATTTAATTTAAACCATCAGGCAAAATTTTGCCATGGAACTTGATATTTTTCTGTGAGGCAAGAGTGCTTGAGCATAGGAAACAGACAGGGTTTTGGAACCTCTCGCATCCTTGAATGGATATGGGAAATGTTAAGCTGTAAATGCCCTCCAAAAGGCTGCTGAATGCAACTTTGCTTTGATAATTAAGGCAATGGATGCGAAAAGAGCACTTCTTGATTGCGGTGTTACAGAATCCCTTTTGCGAATCAATCCCTCGGAGAAGAATTCAATGGGTGATTTTTCCAGAATTCTTTCCATAGAAAATTGTAGAAACTTAAGGAATATTCTGTAAAATTTTTAGTGAAATGGATGCATTCACTTTCGTCACAATGAATGAAATATTCCATGAGACTCTGAAACACTGCAACTGAGAAGTGCCTTTTTCGCACCCAGTGCCTCAATTCCATTTTGATGTTTCTAAACTGAGACTCTTGATTGCAACATCATCTTCTTTGTTTGCCTTTTTTCAGGAAGAACGAACCATATTGATGTTTTCTGCAACTTTCCCGCAAGAAATACAGAAACTAGCTCAAAGGTTCTTGAGGAATCATCTCTTTTTATCTGTTGGTATTGTTGGTGGTGCTTGTGAGGATGTCACACAAAGGTTCTTTGAAGTCTCAAAGTTTGAGAAAAAGGATAAATTAAAAGAAATTCTTACAGAGGAAGGTAATAATATTTGTTACTGGAGCAATTAACCTCTACTGCATTGCCTAATTTTTATAGGTTCAACCTGCGTACTCCTTACTACGTAGAGCCATTGCTGTGTTACATACTCTCTCTCTCAAGAGCTTTTTGAAAATTGGAAGTGGACCAAGTGTCAGTTGTCATAATTTCTGTCATAGATGAGCCAAATAATGATTTACGATTGAGTCATTCTTACTGAAACATTGGGGGATGAGTTGTTTGGTACTGCTTAGATTGTACATCAAGGTTCATATTTCTCAACTGAACTTGGAGGAAAGGCTCAAATTTTAATAACACCAAAAGCGTGAAAAAATATGCTGAAGAAAAAAACATAAATATCATCCTTTTTATGTCTTTTACAACCCCTGTCAACATCAAAACATATTCCGTGAAGCCATATTTGTTCCCCTTACTTCTAACATTATAATCGAAGCACTGCGCCGCAAATTGAGATAAGTTGAGAATCTATTTGTTAAATTCCCTCATCCGGTTGTTAATTTCACTATCTGTCTTGGGTGTCAAATAAATTTCCGGAAATTTAAAGTAGAGACTTGCTGTTTACGCTAACTCAGCTCTATCACAGGCAGCCCATCAGCAAATCCACAAGCTTGAACAATTGTCATGAAAAGCAGCACTTGCCATCAGCAAGTTCTGTTCCAATTGTTTTTCATGACAGTTGTAATCAAAATATTTCACTTTGATTAATCTTTTGATTCTGACCTTAGATTTTTGCTGACTCTTGATCTTCTTTTCTCCTCTGTGCAGGTGCTGAAAAAACTTTAGTCTTTGTAGAAACCAAGAGACTTGCCGACATAATTGCAGTATTTCTCTCAGAGCACAACTTCCCAACCACAAGTATTCATGGAGATCGACTTCAGAACGAGAGAGAGCAAGCGCTTTATGATTTCAAGTGTGGTCGCATGAAAATTTTGGTCGCCACTGCTGTAGCTGCTCGTGGTCTAGGTAAGTTTCACCTTAATTAATCTGTGTCATACAGTAGAATCCTGATCACCTTTAAAGGTATAGAAGTTCAATTCACTACTGAGGAAGGGTTTTTGTGCAGATAAATTGATGGACAAGAGTCAAGAGGAAGAAGCCCCCCCCCCCCTCAAAGTTCACTTTCACTATCACTTTGCATGTGTGGTAATCTCTTTACTTGAAAGAACTCTTTCCTCTCGAAATGTTACTCTTACCGCCAAGGAGTTGATTTTTATGGTGAGCAAAAGCACTCGCCAATTAAACCAAAAACAGCATTTAATTTAATTTTTAATGGCTCCTTCAGGTATCCCTGTTAAGTTGAGAGTTGTGTAATACCTTTCCAATATTCTTGAGCGCATTGCATATTTCAATTTCTTTATGTTACAACGAAGACCTTGAATTCACTTTGTCTAAAGTGAATTTTTGTTAAAAATGCAGTGGATGTTGGTCATTATAGAGTCTATTCCCCACTTTGCTAAATTTTTTAACAGCAGCAGCACCCACCAGTCTTTCAGAAAAGTTTAAATTTAAATTTCCGATTTGTCGGACTTCATCTTCTCTCTTTCTTATTTGGTGTTGTTTCTTTTTTTTACAGACATCAAGGGTGTAGAGCATGTGGTTAACTTTGATCTGCCAAAAGAATTGGAAGAGTATATTCATCGCATTGGGCGAACTGGAAGACTCGGAAATAAAGGTCTAGCGACCAGCTTTTTCGACCCCTCTCACGATAGTTCCTTAGCACCTAATTTGGTGAAAATGCTGGAAGATGTACGTTTCATTTCCTTTCTTACTTATTATTTTTTTTTCATAATGATAACTTCATGAAGATGCCTTTTAAATACTTACGTATGCATGACTATCCTGCAGCTGACCATTCTTGTCACAGATTAGAAGAAGCCCACTTCTAAAAAAATACCAGAGGCCAGTGTTGTGAAAGATTGAGGAAAACCAATGATTTACAGTTGATCGCAATTGCTGTCGCCAGTATTTAGTTGAATGTAGCACAGTATCATGTTTTGATGATATGTGAATTAAGTAAAATATTAAGCAATTATACCTCTTTTTCATTATTGATGGATATTTCTTTACTTCATAAGCAGTGCATGATGTTATCTTGATATCATTTATCATATACGTAGTAAGCCACAAGTGATAATCCACTCATTTCAAAGGTTGTCAAGACCAAGGTGGATTCTCCTTCCTTTTCTTATATATATGCCTTGATAAATCAACCCCCTGATGATGCCTTGATGCCCTCTTGTATAGAAAATTCTATTGGATACCCAAAAGTAGGCTAGCTCATGTCTAGAAGTATAATAGTATCTTTAAAGTAGGTTTGAAAGTTCAGAAAATGTGACACAAATTTATGAATTACCAACAATTTTATTTCCTAGTCCACTCATGACAGGTAGAATGTCACACACTAAATTAAGCCATGGTTGGTGCAGGTGTACCGTGAGAAGGGGTTAAGTTATTGGGTGATGGTAGAGTTGTCTTATCTACCCTAACAAAAAAGAAGGGGTATCGATTGAGGCCTGTTTTTGGCCCTTCCTGATTCTCCTCAATGCTACGATTTTTCACTCATTGGAGGTCTATATTTTACAGAATGCATCATAATTTGGTCATTTTTAGTCTCAAGGGATCTAATACTGGCCTAAATTTTGGTCTGAAGACTGATTTTAGTGGAAAATGTGGGTTTTCAGTCGGATGCCCAAAAATTCTGTATTTTTCTCCAAAATTGCCCCTCAAGTCCATGTTTCGGTCAGTATTAGACCCAGGGTTGCCAGCAGTCTGGAAAACCGGGAAAGTCAGGGAGTTTGCAGTGGCTGTGAAAAGTCAGGGAGTTCCCAGAAAAATTAGGGAAATTTGCCAGATGTGATTAGCAGTAGTGAGTGTAATTTGAAGAGGGGAGGGAAATCAAAGTGAAAGTTTTATTAGAATGTTAAGAAAAGTCAGGGAATCCAAAAATTTTGGAGTTGGGGGAAAAGTAAAAATAGTCGCGAAATTTGATGGTGAAGAAATTATAGCAACCCTGCAGATCTGAAATGACCAAATCATGATCATACTCCACAAAATATAGACCTTCAATTTGAAAAAACTGGTTGGGTTGAGGAAAGTCAGCCAAGGTGGGCCCTAGAAGGACCCTCATCGATAACCATCCTTCATGTCATTTTTTTTTCTGTTGAAGAAAATTCCTTGAAAATTTCAAGTAAGGAAGTCAATTGTTTGAAGTCCCTCAAGAACATTAATGAAATGGGAAGTTTGGAACATTGTAACTAAGATTCCCGGTATTAAGTCAAGCCATCCATTTATTAAATTAATCATGTCGCCGTGTTAGTTCCTCTGAACCTGATTCGCAATACGTTATTAAATCATTCTATGTACTTCTTTCTTTCTTTCTAATCAATAAACTATCATCTTTCTTTGTCACAGTGTAAACAACCAGTGCCCGATTTTCTGACTCAAGCTGCAGGCGGTGGAAGAGGAGCCTACGAGGCCGATGATTTTGGAGGAAGAGATTTCCGAGTAAGTTAATTTCTGTTAATATTCTTATCCTAATTTTTATTTGACTGGCCTGCAATACTTTTATCAGACTGTCTAATTTTTCCTGAAAGCAGTGTCAATAATTCAGCAACTTGAGCCAGCAGGGATACTGAAAATTCAAGAACACCAACCATCAGCTGCTCTTTGAAACTTTCGCCTCATGATCGTATTTCCTACTTGCCTCTCAATCACATGTCCAATTTTATGTCAAAATGGCCAATTTCCTTTGAAATGTGAGAGTCCCCACTTGTAAAGTATCGATGGAAAAAAACGATAATTTTTGAAAATTGCCTCATGATCCAAGATTTGTCTTATGTTTGCTGCAATCCTAACGAATTCGGGCATTTTCGACATCCTTACCTCAAGCTTGATCTTATCTCCGAATCCAGTTTTGTAGCAGCAACCTAGACACCTATGGGAAATTTGCAGAAGTGGAAAAAGTTATGGAGAGGTTCAGCATTGCCTTACTTTCAACATTAGTCCTTTCGTAACAACCCTGTGAAATGACTCCTTGAAGCTAATGAATTTTCTCATCCACGAAACATTAGATTCAGAGAATTTTCAGTTACAGCCTGAAGCTGTAATCATTATAAGAAGCTGATATGTCAAGAGAAGCCAGGGAATTGGAAAATGAAGAAATTAAGGAAACCCTTCTCCAGTGAAAACTTCTTCTGTTTTGTAGGCATCAGTGTAAAACTTCAAACATTTATGCAATTCATGAGTGGCGGTAGCTTCTCATGCAGAAACATTGGAAGCTGTCAGCAAAAAATGGTGGCAGCCTCTCATACGCACACAGAAGTCCCTTAGTCTGACAGGACGAGACGATTGACATTTAGAAAAACTGACTTAAATTGACAGAAGAACATACATGTAGCACCTTCGAAATAACTGCATTTAAGGGTACTTTTACTGCCTCTATGTTGCCAGATTCACATTTTACATTTATCGTGCCTAAAGTATTTCTCAATGTCAATTTGCATCATTCCATTGATCATCATTTTTTCTGTTTTCAAGATAGTGTTTTATTTAAGTGCATTTACGAAGCAAGCAAGTTAATTAATTTCAACAAGTCACTCCAAGATTGGCCACTCTAGCTGGCCTTAAACAACTGTCACAGGATTATTTTAGTCTGAACAGGTAGATAATTATGTGAGTAATTTTTTTTCTTTCTTTTTTCAGAGCAACGACAATGGTCATTCAAATGCTGGAGTACAAGAAGAAGAAGAAGCGTGGTAATTGTCCACCCTTTGTCTTTTTTCTTTTCTTTCATTTTTATTTCATGTTCTCCTATTATTTTTTGGTTTATAAGTTAAGTATTATTTATGATACCATTTTCTCATTATTTTTTTTGTCTATTCATCTAATTCTGAAAAATTCATGATACTACGTTTCAAGCCTAAAGCTATTTTTCTCATTTCAATTATTTAGTTCTGATAAAGTTACTCTCATTTGATAATATCATTCAAAAGAAATGGATTGAACATTAACTCACATCAAGCCTATTTCTTGTGTTTACTCATCATAAACTTAAATAACTTATTGGCACACCAAATCAGTGGTAACACACCGATTTACTGGCTCCATCACTGGTTTTACATAGCCGTTCGACAATTGTAATCTAAACAGACACATGACTATGTCTCAATCATGTGTTCCCTGCCATCAAAATTTCATGTGTTCATGGAGTCATTAACCGATTTATGATTTGTTTATGACAACATCGCACCGGCTCAACGCATTTCACTCCACACAGAATGGGCCAATGACATTCATCGATTCTAACTCACTTTCTGACAGAATACACTGTCATAAGAATATTAGAATAGCTTTGCTACAATCTTGCCACAATTCCTTGCAACTGACTCATTAGGATTTGATGTTATGTTTCATTGTTGTGGTTGGAACCATTAGGAATCGATGTGTTGAATATCTCTAGAATGACATAGCTGGTAAATCAGGACGTTTCAACTGCTTAGCTCTATTTTCAGTGGCTTGCATAAGTTATCACACTATACGATCTTTGCCAGTTCTTTGTAATCAGGATATGACTCCTTGAAAGTTAACTGAAAAAGGATGAAAATAATCATTCTAATTTCAATTAACAGTTTACAGTACACAAATAAAAATAATGTAAGTATAGATTCATTTAATAGCAGGAAATCATTGTGAACGATCGCAGACCACTCTTCGAGACTAACTTCAAGTAATTAAACAAAAGTCTTCAATTCATTTTGTTTGAATGATTCTATTAAACTCCTTTTTACCTTTTCTTGGATTTATATCATGTTTTATTATGTCTACATTTTTCTAATAAGCTGTACATTCTTCTTCAAATTCTGACTTGTTCGGTGACAAAATTGTGACTAGTCAGGCAAAATTTTGACATAATCTTTCACTGCATAAAGGTTGTCAACAGTGTCGTCAAATTCAGTGTCCAAAGTAATTGGCAAGAACTTGCCAACTTTTTATCTACGTTTTTAACTAACTCTCGGTGATTGAATTGCTGATCCTCACCGGTTACTTTGCATTGTAAAATTGACAACTCAGCTAAAAACCGCGTTCTAAGTATGTAAATCTCATTTATACGAGTTAAATAACATTCGACAGGAGTGTTTCCTCATTAGACTGTGATAAGTAGTATAGTTTATCTTCTTCTTATCAGTGAGGAGCCATCTCATCATGGTGGATAGAAGAAGGTTTGAGGCATCTTTATTCATGTTAAATGTTGCGTTCGTCTGTATTGACCTCTCAAATCTCCTTTGACTGATATTTTAAATGTAACATTAGATTATCCTGAGTCTGACAGGAAAATATTAGTTTATAGCATCAATCTGTGAATTGCTCTTGCGCCAAAAAGTTAGAAGACTGTGGCCTGAGCCATAATTTTAATTCTGTAAACTCAGAATTGAAGTAATGAGGGATTGCCTTGATCTTCTTCGATTCCTGCAGTGTCTATTTGCAGACGAGATAGATAAATCAACTAAAGTGAACTTACCCTTTTGAACGAAATGCCATAGCTTTAGGGGTGAGTGAATTTTTGAAAAAATTGTTTCCAGTCATCGGTTATCCAATTAAATGATGTTAGACCTTATTTCTTGACAAGTGAATAAACATAATGATGACAGGATTTACCTTTTATTAGTTGAACCTGATTCAAAATGGGCTCATGTGCCTTCGAATTCCCCGTTTTTTTCATTATAATGTGTCGTTTAGTTAAGCTCTTAAATTTTAAAATGAAGCCCTCTGCTTTATTTTGTTAACTATACTTAGTCTCATAATTTTCTATATTTTTTACGTGAAAATTTTTATGTTAATTGTAGATCCTGTTCTAAAGTTAATTTTTTGTTACCTGACATATTTTTTTACTGTTTGAGAGTAAGGTTACTTACTATTAAAATATCTTTTGTTCAGTACATATTTTGAATTTCTTCTTCTTCTTTGCCTTTGTGATCAGTGTGCAAACATCATCCTAAAATTTTAGGAGCCATTTGTCCTAAAAGCCCACCTCTTAAGTACCATTTAAAATTTTTTTATTTGTTGACCATGAAAGAAGCAAGACTATCACAGGAATATAGGCTGCTCCAAACTTCCTAGGTCTTCTATTCGATGAAGTGCCCTTCACTTTTTGGCTCATTTCATGCGGAGTACCCGTGAAGTTGGAATATTGCTTGTAAAAGAAGTGTCACACTTGAACAAAGGGACATTTTAATCTGCTCCAAAAAGACTTACAGTAGTTGCTTGTGATCTCTTGGGGAGTGAGATGAAGGACTCACATTTTATCCCGTTAATGTCTCCATGACGTGAGCTTGTGATATGGTAATAGTTCTGATTCTCATTTTAATTTTTTGACCCAGCTCAGTTTTTATGATCTGCTAAATAAAATTGGTTTCTCAGAAGAAACTTGTTTTTTCTCTTATTTGCTTCAAGCTGGTTTAAGTTTTTAAGAATGTTATTGAGGTTTGTGATTAATTATTACAGGTCTTCTGAGTATTGAATTTAAGGTGCAGTGTGTCTTTCTTAGCGTTATGAACTTTCATGGTAATTTATATGAACAACAAAAATTGACATTACCTGATGATAGGAAACGAGCTCTTCAGCCATCAGGTGCAAAATGAGAAAAATTAACAAGTGCTTTTTAAATTGACTTTTAGTGCAAGTTTCATTAGACCATGACTTAGATTGGTAAAGTTCTCTTTTGATACGAAAAATATCCACTCAATAAATCTATGTATCTGCTTGGTTTGGTTTAATGTGGTTGAAAAACACATAATAGATAAAGAGGTGAACAGATCATATAAAGCCAGGTTTGTAAAAACAGCGGGTATCGAGCATCTGCCATTTTTAGAGATAACGTATTTTTAAAATCCGCTAATCTTCAAGAGTGTTGATACCAAGTTGCAGACTTCTTGAATAATTTTTTATTAAGATATGAATAAAAAACTGTGTTATATCTGTAAACAGCGTATGTCAGAATTCGTTGAAATAAGTACTGAGCTAAATAACTTGTTGAAGCTCTTTATCTCCTTAAGGATCGAGTTTATGAGCACATGACAAAAGTAATCAAAGTCAATTTGACCTAATGTACGTAGGTCTTCGGAAGATTGCATTTTTCTCCATTTATGATTATTGATGAAATAGTTGGTTCCTTATATTTTTTTGAAAGTTTTACCCAATATTTTTTCCCCCGAAAAACATTTAAAAACTCAATAGTAATCATAATTTGATCAATATCAATTGCTCTACTTCTCTTTCATTAGCTAGTAGGTTCATTATATGCTTTAAAGAAAGTTCTCTGTATGAACAGCAGATACGGCCTTTTTTTAAAATCATTGTATCTCGTTGACGTTTGCTTTTTCAAAAATCTAAAGCTCTATTTTTAGAGGCAGACTCGTTCTATAATAAATTCCTTGACTGAATCCTATTTGCTGCACGGACATGGAAACGCTCAGCTTTGAAAACTTTGAATGCGATTTTCTCAAAACTTGGAAACGCGGCATCTGCTGTTCTTGCATATAAGGCTTCATGGTACATTCTTGCAAAAATAAAATTAAACTCTCACAAGTAGAGAAAGGGAAGAAAGTGACTTCTCTAACTTGGTGTAGAAGATGTGGAAAACTGGAGATTCTCCAGGCAACCGAAAAAGTCATTGTCAGTAAAAGAAAAGGGTACCAGAGAGTCGGTTTCAATAACCAGAATTTCTTTTCTCGGCGCTCCAAGACCATTTGTTTTTAACCATCGCAACTCCAGGGAATGATTCCGTCAATGATTCACAAGCTTCAATCCTAGGACGCGAATACTGCCGACAAGATCTTTCAAATTTTTGTGTTGGCAATACCAAATTGCTCCAGAGTTGGAAAAGCTGCATTATTTGTGACGCAGCAGGGAAAAATGTGCCTAAAGGCGGGGGGAGAAAAAAGGTATCTACACGACAGTCTTGAGGGGTCAATAGGCCTGAAATATTAATTGGTACAAAGAGCACTCATAAATTTTCTTTTCGTCAGCGATTCAAAATTTAAGAATGAAAAACGTATCATTCAAAAAACCTCTTTTTATGTCTGCCGGCGTTGTTGGCGAACCGAGATTTGATTTACCTCGATCGACGAAAATACTATCCAAGAGGTAAATAAATTACGGCTTGAAACTTACAATTAGACCCGATTTTCTTTAAAGTAAAGCGAAATGATTAGCATCGAAAATTGATAATCGGAATCCTTTACCTTAAACCGGAGTTTTTGCATCTTAAGGTGAGGCCTTATGGTGTCTGGCGTACGATAGGTACATCGCATCAATTAAGTAAAAAATCTCCGCAGATTCTGTATTTTCAGCCAAAAGAAGAACGATAATACCCTTGCGTATGATCCCAAAAAATCATTCTAAACCATAAAATTGGCAAATTTCAGGGGAATGGAAGCGGGATACGCTTTGAAGAGTAACTTCGCATTCGATGTAGAAGTTTTTACAGTGTATCGAATCTGGGATACCGCAGGGCCGGATTTAGGGGGTGGCCACATGAGCCGCGGCCCCTGGCGGCAGAATCGGACTCAGAAAAATAAGTTATGTACCTGTACCTACACGAGAAAAGGCGACAAAATCTCTCATTTTCTGAGAGTATAGTAATTTCTAATTTTGTCGTCTTTCGGTGACACAAGAGACAACATCTTTAATTAGTCGAGTTAAGAGAGAAACCAAACATGCAATTTGGCATGGAGCGGCGCGGTGCAGAGAGCAATGATGACGAGGACTTGAGATGAAAAGGAGAAGCCCTCGGCGCGGCGGTCGGCATGTAACACATATTAACACCTACAAGACTGCATGAATACTTCACGCATTGCGTCAAACACAGTGCGGTCGGCATGAGACGCATATCGCCTACAAGACTGCATGAATACTTCACGCATTGCGTCAAAAACCGTGCGGTCAGCGTGAAACGCATAGCGTCTACTGGACTTCATGAATACTTCACGCATTGCGTCATACACAGTGCGTTCAGCAGCGGTCGGCATGCAATGCATAGGTAGCGCCTGCTAGACTGTAGGAATATTTCACGCATAGCACCGAACACAGCGCGGCGGCGGAAGTTAAAATTATTAAACCACATTTGGACGTATTTCTGTCAAACGGAACTAAGCGCCATAGGGGGAGGAAGGTAGAGAGGGGCTTGGATTGACGGCTAACTGGACGTCGGGCTCATTCGTTCCTATACTCGCAATGCTTTTCCATGGCGCATGGCGCTTAGTTCCGTTTAACAGAACGCGCTATCCGGGATTCTAAATTCCTCAGAAGGAACTCAAATTGGCGCTTAGTTCCGTTTGACAGAGATACGTCCATTTATGTTTGTTCTTGCATAATTTTTACGTTCATTTCTTACAAATGGTGGGCCTTGTTCACACAGAGATAAATTTATGGAACTGACATTTCGCGCAAAGTTCCATGAATTTTTTTTAGTAGTGTTGACAGGGCTTTCGCAAAAATGTGTCCAACACAAGTAAACGAGTCTTATGCACCCCTCCCCCTCCACACGTTCACTTGATGGTTTTAATTGATGTTTCAAAACGAATGAGAAGGGGGCGGCAAGTAGGTAAATCTGGCCCTGGGATATCGTTCTTTCTTTGGCTAAAAATTCAAAATCTGCCCAGATTTTTTACTTAATCGATGCGATATATCGCACGCTAGTTCGACCACGCCAAAATCCGTGACGAATCATCTTGAGGCATTTTCTGCCCTTCTGCGTAACATTTTTTGACCGAAGCTCGAACTGGCAAAATTCCCCACGCGCCGATTTCCACTAGAAAGCGCCTCGAATATGGTGTGAAATTGTGGCTCGGAAACAAGCAAACCAAAGTGCCTTCAGATGTCCGTGTAGGCAATACCGCAACGCTCCCGAGCAGAAATAGTCGGATCACTGAATTCGATAGATCTGCAGGTTTCTGCCTTACCATTTCCTACCAGAATACGCATCGACTACAGTTGAATAATCGGGTTTGAAAAGTGCCCAATTTCGAAGAAGTAGAAAAAAGGAAAAAACTGCGAATTCAATTGGAAATTTTCGGTGAAGGGGCATTGTTTTCAGCGTATGTTCGTCAAGTTCGTCAGTTCTCGATGAGAGCACCGAAGCGTAGGTAGCTAAAAATGTAAAACTGCTTGTTCACTGACCACTACAGTATAAATGCTTTTAAACCTTAAAATCGGGAACTTTTTGAAGTAAACAAGAACTTGTAGGTACCCCTCTTCTCAAAGCAAGTAATATAAAAGGACAACAAATTGGAAATAAAAGAGAAAAGAACAAGCTAGTCTCGCGATGTTGGGAGAGTGCGCCAGCGTCGTAGGAATATATCTGCAATTCTGCATCATAGCAGCCTTAAAAACAGTTTTCTTTCAAAACGGGGAAGTAAATCAGTATCAGCTCACTTTCAGTTCAGTTAGGCAACTGGAGCTCCCAAATGATCGAATTAATAACACGTTCAATCGAAACCCTATAAATATAGCGTTGAAACGGAAGAGGTGTTTTTAACGCCACATTAGTTTGCCTTCAATTTTTAGGGTAGGCCACACGAACCAACAAGCCGAATAGTGGTATCAAAAAATTGGTCCGACACTTTGACAGTCTCAGTCGGCATATTCATTGTGATCACGATACCATAAGAAGAAGATGGAAAGAGAAAGGAGAGAAAGAGGTAGAAAGAGAGAGTGAGAGAGAAAAATTTGAGAGGGAAAGATTTGTTTGGGTTGATGATAACACATAGAATATTTATTAAATATTATAAAACCGAAATGCTTTAACTTATAGGACGAAACATTTTACAACATTTATAAACTCGCAAATAGTAAAATAATAATGAATAATAAACCCATAGGAAACTCAAACAAGAAGTAGCTTCTTACTTTACAAACCGAGGAACGTTTAAGTTAACGCCA